AGTAACTGTAAATCGCTCAGAGCCGGCAGCTCTGCAAGGATTGAGCGATCAATAAATTGAAAGATGATGATGATGATGATGATTATTATTATTATTATTATTATTATTATTATTTACATCTTGCACAAGGGAGAGGGGGGCAAGCGCCAACCCCTGCTTCTTCTCAGAAGCATTTAAAGGATCCCTTTAAATGCTTTAGAGTAGAAGCGGGGGGCTTTTAAAGAAGGGGGCTGCCCCCTTTAAGGAAGGGGGCAGAGCCCCCAATAGTCTCACTGTAGCTACAGGCCAGGTCCCAACCAACGCTCCCTCTAAGCTGTGGAGTCTTCTGAGCAAAATTCTACTCTGTGAGCTACTGGGATTAAAGTTGTGAGCGAGCCATTTGGCTGCTGCATAAATTAGTTTGCTCGGGAGCCCTCCTTCCTGAGCGAAGACAAAAATGTGTTAGTCGGAGGCTAAGAAAACTGTGAGCTAGCTCACACTAACTCAGCTTAGAGGGAATGTTGCTTTAGAGCCAGGGCTCCTGTCTGCGAAATCTAGATGGACAGAGAAAGCTGTCTCAGACAGATGACCTAAGAAATACTCCCTCTAAGCTGTGGAGTCTTGTGAGCAACAATTCTACTTTGCGAGCTACCGGCATTAAAGTGGTGAGTGAGCAATTTGGCGGCTGCATCAATTAGTGTGTTCTGGAGCCCTCCTTCCTGAGCCAAGACAAAAATGTGTGAGCCGGAGGCTAACCAACGGTGAGCTAGCTCACGCTGACTCAGCTTAGAGGGAACATTAGTCCCAACTCACAGGTTGGAAAACACTACTCTACTCTATCCTGCCTGGAATGGAGTTCCTTACAATAAAGAACTCCTATTAGTTGAAGGTCCATGTGAACCATATTTCCATAAGCAGTGGCCTAATGTATATTCTGCTGTGCACATGTGCATTGATCACTCACTCAGACCCATCATCCTTGTTGCCCTGCAAGGCACTTAATGTGCTCTTATGAACTATTACTCATAAATTTTATGAAAGGGACTGTGCAAAGGTATGCTTAAGGGACTGTACTGCATGGTGACCCAATATGATACTGCACACCTGAGAGAAGAAAACCTTCCTTTTGCGTTGCTGTTCCAGGGGTTCTTCAAGGTGACCTGCCCACTTACCTGTTGTGAGATGGACCAGTTCCCTAGCCTGCATAACGCCATGCCGTGCCAAGGCACAAGGACAAAGAGCGCCCAACCGCCATTAGGAGCTCCTTCTGACACACGCAGGCAACCCCCTCCCCCCTCCTCCGTCTACCTGCATAACTGCACGTAACCAAGAGGATCTACACACAGTTGCTTGGCGACTAATTGCTCGCCCATCAACGACTCGGCTAGGACCATCCAGAGACAATGGCCCTAGCCCGATGACTCATTTCCTCTTCATCCAGGTGCCAGTCCCCCCGTCTAAGTTACTAGTTCTCAATATTGACCACTCCCTAGCTCCCCTCCCTTCTCCCACTCTACCCAATAGGTATGTTTTCAGGGACGGACTAACAGGAGGTGGGACAAGGGGATGTGGCCAGCTCAACCTGCCCCTCCCATGCCACCTCATAAAAGGAGATACCCGACCACCTGGTCTCTCTCTCTCTACTATGACCCCTATCTAAGCTTTATCCCCCTTACGTCCAGCTTGGTATCCCAATACCCTCCCTCCATCGTTGACTCTTGGTCTGCAGCAAGAGTCCCAACGTGTTTCTGCCAGTTCAGAACACGTTCCCCGTATCTAATTCTTCCCCTCCCTTCTTCCATTGGAAAAATTCAGTCAGCAAGGACAGGTAACTATTGCCCAAACAACGAATACCCTGCTAATGCGAATATGCTTGTTATCAGCAAGGACAGATAACTATTGCCCAAACAACGAATACCCTGCTAATGCGAATGTGCTTATTATCAGCAAGGACAAGTAACTATTGCCCAAACAATGAATACCCTGCTAATGCGAATGTGCTTATTATCAGCAAGGACAGGTAACTATTGCCCAAAGAACTAATACCCTGCTAATGCGAATGTGCTTATTATCTATTTTTATTTTCCTAGACTCTGTATAAAAGTGTGTGCATTTGTGTAGTGTTTGAATGATAAGTATCTTACAGTAAAAGACATCAATTTATACTAAATACAGTCTCCGTGTCTATTACTGGTAACTACTGGAAAGGTGGGACCTCGGTATACAACGGTGTTTGCTCCCTAATTTGCCTAGTGCCAATTAATAAACATAACTCCCCCCCCTATATTGATAAGAAATTAAGGCAATTTGGCTAACATCCTGCACTGGAGGAAGATGTGGCCATTAAGTAAAACCCGTCCGATCCTCGAATGCATGCCTGAGGACAGTCAAGTGTCCCTTCAACTTCGTCAGCTGACCTGTCATGGGGACGCCTCCATCCTCAGCTGATTCCTTCCAGGGATGCTGCTGTGCTGCAGTCAGTGACCAGAGTACCTCGTGGGCTTCCAAGCACCGTTCACTGACAGATCCCAGAGAAAGGGAGAGGACGAAAGAGAAACGTTAAACATGCCTGCTCTGCTGTCTTTGGCGTAGGCAGTTTGGTGTAGTGGTTAAGAGCGCGGACTTTAATCTGGGAGAACCGTGTTTGGTTCCCCTCTCCTCCACATGCAGCTGCTGGCATGACCTTGGGTCAGTCATAAGTTCTCTCAGAGCTGTTCTCTCAAGGGCGGTTCTCGAGAGAGATCTCTCAGCCCCACCTACCGAGTCACAGGGTGTCTGTTGTGGGGGAGGGGGAGGGGGAGGGATTGCAAGCCACTCTGAGACTTCAACAGGTAGTGAAGGGCGGGGTATAAATTCAATCTCTTCTTCTCTTCTTTTCCCCAAAGGAGAGCAGAGGGATTTTGCCTATTTATTTCATGTGCACCCCGCCTTTCTCCCCAGTGTTTCCCTCTCTTCCATTTTATTCTCACAAGAATCCTGTGAGGGAGGAAAGGCTGAAAATGTGTGACTGGCCCAAGGTCACCCAGTGGGCTTCCATAGCACAAGTGGGGTTCGAACCTGGGTCTCCCAGTTACTACTTCAACCCTCTTAACCAGGGCACCGCACTGGCTCTTCATTATGGGAAATTACCGGGTGTAGAGTTATAGGATGACAGCTAACATGGGGCCCGGGAGCAGGTTAACGCCAGCTGGACCCTCACCTGTACTGCACAGCCAAGCAGAGGGCAGTGGTATCGGACTCCCGGCGGCCCAGCAGCATGCTGAGGCTCTCTGAGTCACTCTTGCATTCCTAAAAAAAAAGCAGCGTGGCTGAAAGAAGTTGGTTGAGGCATTTCAGCTTCTCAACAAACCTGAGGAGGGCAGACACATATTGTGTATCAGCAATGATCCCTTCAAAACTGGAAACACCATGGAAAGAAACGCTTCTACATGCAAAGGAAGTGTTCTCCCATGAAGCTGACACCGTCCTCAAAGCCATGCCCACATTGGCTAAAAGATTATCAATAGTCTAAAAGCCATGCCCACATTGGCTAAAAGATTATCAATGAGCTTTTCTTGCTCATAAACAGGGGTCGTTTCCTGCAGGAGCGCACAGGAGCGGAGCTCCGGCAGTAAAGAGCCCAGGGGGCGGGCACATGCAACAAGCCCCACCCCCTGCTCCCAGCAGCCCTCAGTCAGAGCAAGAAGCAGCCAGGTATGTTGCACAGCCCCCTCCCATAGATAGCAATCCAAAACGGATAGATAGCAATCCAAAACAATCTCCCTCCTCTGCCAGGGCAGAGCTGCACGTACCGTCCCCCCAATGGCTAGCCAACCAAAACAGTCCAGTGGAGCCTGAGCGGTGGGTGTTGCCTTCTGACACACTTCCGGTGTTGTCAGGGGGTGTGGCATATGCAAATAAGTTATGCTAATGGGTTATGCTCATGAGCTCCCGGACCTCTTTTTCTACGAGATGACCCCTGCTCCACAGCTTAGAGGGACCACTAGACAGTGTCATGGAGGATGAGGACCCCAAAAGCCGGAGGTCCCCCCAAGAGATCCTGAGACATGTTGAGTTCTCTTAAAAGATACCCCCTCCTGTGAAACACCACGAGACAGAAGCAGCTAGGAAGGTCACTTACACAACCCTTAATGAAACGAATGTTTCCTGGGAGCCTTGCGGTGTGCTGAGTCCTGCAGAGAAAACAGACATCGTTCTGTTACGTTTATTCCCTTTCCTTATCTTTAGGGAGTAATCCAGTTGCTAGTTGTGGGAATATCTTTCCATTTGATTCAGAATGATTTTTAACCAGAGCCAGAGATCTATGGCTAAAACCAGATGCTACATCTTACACAGGTTGGAACAAGGGCGCTCTTCAGATCTTTCAGTCACACGGAAGAATAGGGTATTTTACCTTGCCTTAGTGCCACATGACGGAGTGAGCTCCTGTCTCTGGTCCCATCCAATGCTCCCTCTCAGCTGTGGAGTCTTGTGAGCAGGGGTCATTTCGTAGGAAAAGAGGTGCAGGAGCTCCTTAGAATAACTCATTAGCATAACTCATTTGCATATGCCACACCCCCTGACATCACTGGAAGTGTGTCAGAAGAAGGCAACACCCATCGCTCAGGCTCCACTGGACTGTTTTGGTTGGCTAGCCATTGGGGGGACGGTACGTGCAGCTCTGCCCTGGCAGAGGAGGGAGAGCTTGTACCTGAATAAAACTTGGTCTTAAAGGTGCCACTGGACTGTTTTGGACTGGGGGGCCGGGGGGGGCTCTGCAACTTACCTGGCTGCTTCTTGCTCTGACTGAGGGCTGCTGGGAGCAGGGGGTGGGGCTTGTTGCATGTGTTCACCCCCTGGGCTCTTTACTGCCGGAGCTCAACTCCTGTGCGCTCCTGCAGGAAATGACCCCTGCTTGTGAGCAAAACTTCTACTTTGTGAGCAACTGGTATTAATGCTGCGAGCGAGCAATTTGCCTGCTGCATAAATTTAGTCTGCTGTGGAGCCATCTTTCCTGAGCTAAGACAAAAATCTGTGAGCTGGAGGCTAAAAAACTGTGAGCTAGCTCACACTAACTCAGCTTAGAGGGATCACTGGCCCCAGCTCCTGCCGACCTAGCAGTTCGAAAGCAAGAAATTGCAAGTAGATAAATAGGTACCGCTTCGGTGGGAAGGTAACAGTGTTCTGCACACCACGGCATCCAGTCATGCCGGCCACATGACCGTGGAAACGTCTTCGGACAGCGTTGGCTCTTCGGCTTGGAAACAGAAATGAGCACCGCATCCCTAGAGTCGGATTCGATTGGCTTTCGAGCAAGGGAAACCTTTCTAGGACAAGTGCAAGCAGAAAGGTGCAAACAGCTCCCCCGTGGCCATTTCCACTGGCAAAAACAGTGTGGGGAGGGAAGCTGGAAGCTCTTTGTCTCCCCCCCGCAGCATTCCAGACCCAAATGGAACGAGGGACCACTGTTAAGGTAAGACAACCTGTTCTTCTGTGTGATAGAGCGTGGGGACAGGCCCCAGTGGCCTGACCCATGTCAGGTACAATGTCTAGTTCGAGCCTAATGCTGAATACAAGCGACTGCATCGTGCACAATAGAGCAAGGAGGAAGACAGAAAGGAATTCTGGTCAATCACAAGCTAAACATGAGCCTGCAGTGTGATGTGGCTGTGAAGAAAGCTAATGCAGTCTTAGGATGCATGAACAGAAGTATTGTGTCCAGATCACGGGAGGTGGTCGTTCCGCTCTATTCTGCTATGGTCAGGCCTCACCTGGAGTACTGTGTCCACGTTTGGGCACCCCATTTGAGGAAGGACGTTGACAAGCTTGAGCGTGTCCAGAAGAGGGCAACCAGGATGGTGAGAGGGTTGGAATCCAAGTCTTAGGAGGAAAGGCTGAAAGAGTTGGGTCTGTTTAGCCTGGGAAAGAGAAGGCTTTGAGGGGACATGGTTGCAGTCTTCAAGCATCTGAAGGGCTGTCATGTAGATGATCTATTCTCTCTTGCTCCGGGGGTTGCAAGACTAGGTCTAATGGGTGGAAATTACAAGGGAGTCCTTACCGGCTAAATATCAGGAGAAACTTCCTAACTGTAAGAGTGGTCGAGCAGTGGAACGGACTGCCTCAGAAGGTGGTGGAGGCTCCTTCGCCGGACGTTCTCAAGCGGAGGCTGGACGACCATCTTTCGGGTATGTTGTAAAGCTATTTTTTTGGCTGTGCTCCTGCAGAGTGCAGGGGGTTGGACTAGATGACCTGCAAGGTCCCTTCCAACTCTAACATTCTATGATTCTATGATTCTGTGAATTCTACAGCACCAGCAAGAAGCCATAGACAGGGCTATCGGCCACCTCAGTTGCAGCTTTTCCCTGCTTCCCTCTACGGGGATCTTTCATGACAATACCCACACATACCCAGTGCTCACCTGAAACCCCCACGGCCCTCCTTCTTGAACAGGGCCGGCAAATCCATCCGGAAGGTTCTCGAGCGTAGAGAGAGCATCCTGCAGCTCTTTGACCTGCAAGGACACATGAGCACATGTCGTCACGTCGCTGCTCCTAATCCCTGCCCTATCAAGTGGATTCAGGAGATGTCAGACAAGACCCTGCGTCACTCAATACAAAACTAGCTGATGGAACCCACAAGAGGAAGCTGCTGGCTTAGCTGGCTTCGAGAACAGACTAGACACATTTATGGAAGAGAAGAGGTAGACCAATGGCTGTTGGCCATGATAACCAAGCTGAACCTCCATCTTCACCTTGTATTTGTTTTAACTTATTTATTTATTAAATTTATACCCCGCCCTACCCCCTGGGGGGAACTCCACCCCGACGTGCACGTCGCCCGGAAGTGACATGGGCACGCCGGGCACGCCGGGTGGCTCACAACATAAAATCAGCATATCATAAAAACAATTGACAATAAGACTCCTGGGATCCATTGGAAGCTTAGCAGCACATTTGAGCCCGAATACTTCTTGAGATCAGCGACCCGTCTGAATGTATTCTCTTTCATGACTTTTTGTAAAGCACTTCACGAGCAAGAGAGCTTTCGTACTACTCTGATATTCCCTGAGGAAGATCCAATTTTGAAACGTTGTTATGCAGGGCTTTTTTTGTAGAAAAAGCCCAGCAGGAACTCATTAGCATAATAGGCCACACCCAACAGCAGAAACTCATTAACATATTAGGCCACACCCCTGACAGCACAGCTCATTGGCATATTAGGCCACACCCCCATGTTACCAGAAGTGTGCTCATCCAGCCACACCCACCTTTTGCTTGTTATTCTGTTTACCTTGTTTGTTGTCCAAACCCAGGGCTTTTTTGTAGCAGGAACTCCTTTGCATGTTAGGCCACACACCCCTAATGTAGCCAATCCTAATGAGTTTCTGCTGTTGGGTGTGGCCTATTATGCTAATGAGTTCCTGCTGGGCGTGGCCAACTTGGAAGCCAGCCAGAACTCCGTTCCTGTGCGTTCCTGCCCAAAAATAGCCCTGTTGTTATGTAATCTGGAGACGACGTTGATGATGTATTTTGACACTAGGATTTTCTTATGATTTGAAGGAATTTGTTGATTGTATTGTGTTGTGGCGCTTTTGGCCATCATATACAGAAAGCCTTTTCTTTGCAAGTCTTGTGGACTGCTTGATCTGTGGGTCAGACTCTCACGACTGTTTTCTTTACATTTGTCCTCAAGCACAGTGCTCGGTCCTGTCCTCAAACACAGACAGGACAGGCTGAATAGATTGAACGTCCCCCACCTCAACCAAAGGCCTGGCGGAACAGCTCTGTTTTACAGGCCCTGCGGAACTGTGCTAAGTCCCATAGGGCCCTAATTTCAAGGGGGAGCACGTTCCACCAGGCTGGGGCGAGGGCCGAAAAAGCCCTCGCTCTGGTTGAGGCTAAGTGGACATCTCTCGGGCCAGGGACCACCAGGAGATCTTGATCAGAAGAGGGGTTCATAGGGGGAGAGACAGGTATGATGGTCCCAGGTATGCAAAGTTAATGAATTCATTGATGAAAATGTGTACCCTAATTGAACGAGAGTTGGACCATAAGGAAGGCCGAGCGCCAAAGAATAGATGCTTTCCGATTATGGTGCTGGAGAAGACTCTTGAGAGTCCTTTTGTTATGTATTTGCTTATTGCATTGCCTAAGTAAACTAGCTAGAGCTTCAGACACAAGCTGCATATGCCCTTAGGAGTCTAAAGTCTGCAGTTGGATCGGTCGCTGTAGCGTGACAGACCAATCCGGAAAGACCCTGACCGTTGGCAGGAACAAATCCCATTGGTCCTAAGCTCTCTCTCATGATTGGACATTACTGTACTCGGGGGGGGGTGCCCTCGCTAGTTCAGAATGTATAAAGTTGGATCGTTCTATGAGTGGATCGTTCTATAAGGGAGCGGTGGCGCAGGGGATAATCCCCCTGCTTAACTATAACATCTAAACTGCCAAGCTTTGTCAGTTCTAGCCCCGTGCTGGTGTGAGCAACCAAGCCTTGTCCTAGCTCATCGTCTACCCAGCGATTCGAAAGCTTCGGCAAGTAGATAGATTGGGGGCCACCCGTAAGGGGGTGGGCACACCACTCCCTTTGGGAAGGTGTTAGCTGCCGAGTGTGACTTCTGTGGCGCGGCAAGATCGAAAGCTGAAAGATCTGTTTCGGCATCCCTGCAGTGCAGCGAGTCGGCCAGGCGGTGGTAGTGTGTGGCAGCGCGGCATCAAGAAGCCCTGACGTCAAATACCTATCTGCTTTATCAAAGTCTTTCGGAAATATATTCAATAACAATATATCTGGAGTAAATGGGACCTTAGTTCTTGTCATTTTTTGCATTATTTCATGTACCCATCTCCAAAACCTTTTTGTAACATCACATAGCCACCACATATGATAGAATGAACCAGTCTTATTCTTATATTTCCAACATATGCTAAATACTGGAAAACGATGGAGACTCCAACAAAACAAGAATATGTGAATAAGCTGTTTGAAACGGCTGAGAATGATAAATTGACGATGGAGATGAGAGCTGGAATGGAATGGACGTTTAAAAAAACTTGGAAGAGATTTTATGACTGGTATAATATAAGCGTAATAACCTGATGGAATCTGAGTACGCAGAAAAGATAAGCTAGTAAAATAGATAATGAGATTTGAAATGTAATAAATAGATAATTGAAGGACAGAAGATGGAATAAGCCTCCTGCTATATGTTTAATGTTTGTTGGTGGTAGTTATATGTTGTTGTTTTTTATATATGTCTGTAGTGTATAAAGAAAAATAATAAAAGTGTACCCTTGGGTACTTAAAAAAAAAAATTCAGGATAACCCCCAAAAAAGAAGAAGCCCTGGCATAATCAGCCAGCCGACAAGAATACATGCCGTCGGAACACGACTGATCCAGCTCGCAGATGAATCCCCGGCTAGCTACAATGTGTGTGTAATTAAAAATGCTGTCTGTTGTCTTCCCTATCCCCCACGAATATTGTTAGTCCAAATGTCATGAGTAACTGTAAATCGCTCTGAGCCCGCAGGTGTGTGGGAAAAAGCGATCAATAAATCGAAAGTATTGTTGTTGTTGTTGTTGTGTGTCCTGAGCTGAATAAAGAAATCACTTGTTGAAACGCTGCCTCGATCTCAGTACCTTTGGACTGCGAGGAGATCCAATCAGTCAATCCTAAAGGAAATCAAACCCGACTGTTCCCTGGAAGGACAGATCCTGAAGCTGCAGCTCAAGTACTTTGGCCACCCAATGAGAAGGGAGCACTCAGTGGAGAAGACCCTGAACAACTGGTGAAGTTCAGATCTTTTGTAATCTAATTCAGTTCACTGGCTCATGGTGAAAAGGATTGCGCATTCACACCTCCTTGCCGTTTAAAGAGAACAAAGGCCAGGGGAAGAGAGCTGTAAACTCGAATCCTCGGGCCTCTTTGTGCCGGAAATGACTGTTAATCAGCCAGTCACAGAGATGCTGTGGAATGTCTAACTAAAGACTTCAATTCCCAGGGACCACTGCTCTTAAAGATATATGGCAGTTCTACTTAACTACAGTTAAACGCTGGCTGGGGCAGCACACTGGGAAAGACTGAAGATAACAGAAGAAGGGGATGGCAAAGGATGAGATGGTTAGGCAATGTTACCGATGCAATGAATATGAAGTTGAGCACACTCTAGAGGACAGGAGGGCCTGGTGTGGTGTGGTCCATGGGGTCTCGAAGAGTCGGACTCAACTGCACAACTGAACAACTGCAACCAGGGGTCTTGTTGTAGAAAAAGAGCTGCCGGAGCTCATTAGCATAACTCATTAGCATAACTTATTTGCATATGCCACGCCCCCTGACATCACCGGAAGTGACAGAAGGCCACACCCCCTGACATCACCGGAAGTGTGTCAGAAGGCCCGGCTACTTACCCTCCTGCTTCATCCTCATTCCCAAACGGAATGAGGATCGAAGCAGAGGGCGGGGTAAAGAAGGGGGCGGGGCTTCACCACGTGACCGCCCCGCCCCCTAGAGGTTCTCTTCCGGAGCTCCGTACCTGAGAGCTCCCCCCCGACTAGAGCCCTGACTGCAACAACAAATTGAATGAGATGGGGATTTATCTGCAGTCACCTTTCTCTGAAGCTTATCCCGCTCTTCTTGGTATGCACCGAGGGCGGTCTTTGACTGGCGGAGGGCCTCGTCCTTCCCTTCCAGAGATGCCCTCAGGGCCGCATTCCTCTGCTCGTACAGGGCCACTTCTCTCTTGTACTTGCTCATCTCTTCTGGAGGCAGTCCAGCCGCCAACGCCTCCTCTTCGCTGTGCAGCTGGGGAAGCGGCTCTTTGTCATCTCCTTGGAACTTCCGTAGACTTTGTTCCAGGCTCTGGCAAACACACGTAAATGTTGGATGTGCTAAGGAAAGCCTACGGAAGGACATCAGAAGAACGCCACAGATCTGCCCAGCCCAGTATCCGGCTTCCAACAGTGGACAACCAGAGATGCCCAGGAAGTCAACAGGAGAGGAAGGCAACAGACAGACAGAGGCAATTAACTGACTCAAAAACAGGCTATGCAGTCATAATCTGGGTAAAAACCAGAGGCAAACGAACCTCCCCTCACCCAAGAAGTGGGTTCTAGATCAAATCACACCTAAACTCTCCCTAGAAGCTAAAAGGACCAAACTGAGGCTATCATAAGTTGCTGTAGATTTTCCGGGTTGCGTGGCCGTGGTCTTGGCATCGTAGAACCTGACGTTTCACTAGTAGCTGTGACTGGCATCCTCAGAGGTATAACACAGAAAGAAGGAGTACTCTCTGTGTCAAGGTGAGAAGAAAAATGGTAGGCAGGTAATTTACATCTACTCTAGAAGGTGGGTTAGGGCTGAGTCATTATCTTGTAGGAGTTCCCCAGGCTGTGAACATGCTAATGGAGGAGCTTTCCTGAGGAGGTTCTTTTGTATATGGATTGTTTCCTGAGGAGCCTATTATACTTTGGTCCAGGGGTCATTTCGTAGAAAAAGAGGTGCAGGAACTCATTAGCATAACTCATTTGCATATGTCACACCCCCTGACAACCACCGCTCAGACTCCACTGGACTGTTTTGGATTGCTAGCTATTTGGGGGGTGGGGGAACGTGAAGATCTGTCCTTGCAGAGGAGGGAGAGCTTGTACCTGAATAAAACTTGGTCTTAAAGGTGCCACTGGACTGTTTTGGACCGGGGAGCCGGGGGGGAAGCTCTGCAACATCTAGCTGCTTCTTGCTGTGACTGAGGGCTGCTGGGAGCAGGGGGTGGGGCTTGTTGCATGTGCCCGCCCCCTGGGCTCTTTACTGCCAGAGCTCTGCTCCTGTGCGCTCCTGCAGGAAATGACCCCTGCTTTGGTCACATTATGGGAAGACAAGAGTCACTGGGAAAGGCAATCATGCTAGGAAAAGTTGAAGGCAGCAGGAAAAGAGGAAGACCCAATATGAAATGGATGGACTCATTCAAGGAGGCCATGGCCCTCAGTTGGGGAGACCTGAGAAAGGCTATTAACGACAGGACATTTTGGAGCACGTTAATTCATAGGGTCACAATGAGTCAGAAGCGACCGGACAGTACTTAACAGACACCCCCAAGAAGAGAATGGAGCAAAAGGGATATCGAAGGGCCCACCTCAGCCACCCGGGTGTACTCCTCCAGCTCAGCTTCTGAGCTTGGGATACGACGCCGGTGGGATAAGACGGTGTCCTCGAGAGACGTCATGGCTTTGTGGACATCAAGGAAGAGGTCGGCATGGCCTAGAACACAGGAGGAGGTAATATTTTTAAACTCTTAGAGAAGACTAATGAGGGAGGAGCTTCAGAGATATCATATTCGGGCCTCACCGACAACTAGAGATGTAAAATTTCCAGAAAAAAAACAGAAATTTTTGGAAAAGTTGAAAAAAATGCTACATTAGCACTTCTTTTTTCTTTTCTAGATTGAAACTCATTCTGTTACTTCAGGAACATAAAATATGACTATGGACATTTTTTACTTGGCATGAAATTATCACAACTAGCATATTAAAAATATAGTATATCCAAACAATTATTACAAACAGAATAACCACCCACATGCAAAAACAAAGCTGAAACCTTTTTTCTTTTCTTGTGACAATTGCACCTCCTTAAGGAAGAAATCCATCTTGTTCTTGCATTGGAGAGTTCAGTTTGTAACCTAGGACTTGCTTGTCCTCAGTGCACAGAAATTAGATCAATCTGATACCATATATATATATTTTAGAAATGATTTGGAAAACATTTGAACACCTTGTCTTAAAATATTTTATTCAACATGTTAAAATAAAACATTCCATAATCAATTTTTTTTCTTTTCTTTTTTCAATTTTTCCAATTTTTCGGAAAAAAACAAAAAGGCTTCAGGAAAAAAACGGGGAAAAACTGGTTTTTTTTTCCGAATTTTTCCGTTTTTTTCCCGGGCCTTCACATCTCTACCTGGGGACCCCTTGGAATTGCAGCTCATCTCCAGACTACAGAGAAAACCCCCCCCCCCCCCCCAATTCCCCACCGGTGGCCAGAGGGGAACTGGCAACCCTAGATTGGACTAGATGACCCTTGGGTCCCTCCCAGCTCTATGTTTCTACGGTCCATTCTGCATCTGGCATTCACTCCACATCTTCTCAGCACTTGACTTGGTTCCCCCTTGCTTCAGAATGTCTGTTTTCACTGCATTGCCTCGAATCCTGGTTTCTGCACTGGCTAGTGTCAGCTTGCCATCTGTTTTGCTTTCAAAGCTCGCTCCTGCATTGGTATGCAGATTTTCCTGTGTCGGTACTTGCCTCAGCGGTTATTAGCCGCCTGAGCCAAGTAATTCATGGCGAAGTGATAAGTACAGAGGGGGAAATAGGGGCAGGGGAACTGACGGAGATCAATGAAGCCATGACAAGGGGTCTGCTTATTGTTCCCTTCGAATTGGAAGCGGAGGAAGGAAAAGGTGCCGCTCGAAACCACATACAGATCCCCCGCAGCAAAGCCATACTGACTGGGAAGCTACCCCTGAATGGCCATGAATCTATGCAGAAGGTACCATCAAACCCGATGAACAAAGAAAGTGGAAGCAGCATGCAGTGCAGAGGGAGATTAACCTTCCGACGCGGCTGTGGGAAAACTACGAGGAAACCGGTGGGTGCAGAATCAGCCTATGTTTCGTTCATCCAGCCTTTTCTCTGCCATCGATCGACTTTAAAAACCTGCTCAGAGCCCTTTCTGCACACTCAGAGGAACAAGTGTCACATAAGTGAAACATGTCTCACTGCAGATTCCGCAAGCCCTTCTTACCATCCATGCTGCGGGCCGGAGGTGGCAGGGCCAGGACCGAGTTTGGGAAAGGCCGAGGGCAGCGGGGGAGGCTGGCTGTGTATTCCGAGCCCAGGTCAGAAAACTCCTCGTCATCTCTGCGAACAAGGAGAGTTATTTGAACTAAGCAGCTTCTGTTCTCTGGGATTTCCCCCTCCCCAGATCTCAGCCTCTGTTCTGGGCCAAGTGCCACCCCCCCTCCGAGGGACTTCAATCTCATGCAGCCTACAAGAATCACCATAGCCCGTTCATGTATTTTAGATTGCAATGCTCAAAAATTCTGAAGATTTAAGGAATAAACCAATCCCGAGTCTGCTCATGAAAACAAGATGGATCGATGGATTGATTTTATGTTATATTGTTAATAGTCTGTCTTTCTCACGGGGAGCCAAGGTGGTTTACGCAGAGGGAGTCAATAGAATCGACAAGGAGGGGGGGCATTCAATAAACGTGCAACGGGATCAGGATTGTCGAAGTCCGGAACCAACCAGAAATGCGATCACACACACACTAAATAACCCACTTTCAATCCGCTTTCAATGCACTTTCCGACTGAATTTTGCCAGTTCACAAACAGTAAAATCCAGTTGGAAAGTGCATTGGTAAAAGAAGCGTATTGGTTCCAAGATGTTTAAGTTGCTCTGACAGTTTTAGATTTTGCCTAATATGCCCCCCAGTATATTTTCTTCCTCCTTTAGAATCTTAGGGTGTGTTCAGACGGGCAGCTAATCCCGTCATTATGCCATCTTGATTTTTATCCCGATCTTTTTAATCCATCGTAGCAGGACCAGACATCCCCCTGGCAATGTTCCCTCTAAGCTGTGGAGTCTTGTGAGCAAAAATTCTACTTTGTGAGCTACTGGCATTAAAGTTGTGAGCAAGCAATTTGGCTACTGTATCAATTAGTTTGCTCTGGAGCCATCCTTCCTGAGCTAAGACAAAAATGTGTGAGCCGGAGGCTACAAAACTGTGAGCTAGCTCACACTAACTCAGCTTAGAGGGAACACTGCCCCCTGGTGAATCGCCTTACCGCGCACTGCCTCCATTGTGGATTGTCTAGATAGCGTCCACTGAAGGAGGCATGTGTGGTGGGTTATTTTAAAAAAACTTTTTGCACATGCGCATAGGTGTCACAGCACATCCTTGTTGAAGGAGGCGCGCGGTGGTTTTTTAGATATTTTTTAAAATGGCGCCCGCTCAGGATGGTCTGACGTCAGACCACCCCGACGGGAGGATTGCGCGCTGGTGGAACGATCAGACGGGTGAAAGTCCGCAGTTGTCCCGCAGGTAACCGAAAACCCCAGATTTAAAGTGGTATCTTTTAAGTACGGCTCCGAAGCGCGGCAAAACGGGATGCCCACGGAAGAGGGACATTTCGCAGATGTTTGTGTCTGGACATTACCTTTAGATCCGTGAGGCAATCGTGCCTCGCGCGGATCTAAAGAGCCGTCTGATCGGACTCTTAATGTCTTTCGCAGCATGTCTGCGAGATTCTAATGAGAAGACTGCTTCTCAGACTCTGTATAGATTGACCACAACTGACAGCTACTGACTGCGGACTTCAGACTGACCACTTTGCCTTCTCTCTCTCCACACACACTTCCTAGCTCCGCCCACACACTCCCGGTCACCAACCAATCACCTCACTCACTCGTCTCCCTCTTCCACCCCCTGGTTCTTCTGACACTTACCAACCATTGAAAGGAACATGCACGTATAACATGAAATAATTACCACAAGTGATCCCAGGGAAAAACAAGGCGGGCCACGGTCTTACCTGCCCGTCTGGTGCTGCAGGTGTTCAATTTTGCCGTGGAGGCTGGCGATGGTGAGCAGCAGCTCCGTGATGTCCTGCTCGTAGCGCAGGATCTCTTCCTCGTCTGAGCCCTTTTCCTGGAATCTCTCACCTGCAGGCTCCGCATCCCCCTGGTGACCATAAAGGAAGAAGAGAATCACGGAGCACCTCAGGACTTTTGGGTGGGTTGACGGAGAACCAGAGATGTACCTGAGTGGTCCTGAGCACAGTGAGCTGCACACATCCAGCACCTCCTGAGTGATCCCTCCTGGGGTAGAAGGATTCTGGAGTAATCACCTAGGAAGGCCACAAAGTTTCTTCAGTGGGAACTTAGGAGTTCGGATGGGGTCAATGGGAATTGGGAATCTCTCTCTGCGTGGTCACAAATACACAGGAAAAGGAGGAACAAAGGAGGAGGAGGAGGAGGAGATTGGATTTATACCCCCCTTCACTACCCGAAGGGTTGAGAGAGGAAGAGGAAGAAGAAGAGGAGGAGGAGGAGGAGGAAGAGGAGGAGGAGGAGAAGGAGGAGGAGTTTGGATTTATACCCTGCCCTCCACTACCAGAAGGAGTCTCAGAGTGGCTTACAAACTCCTTTCCCTTCCCCTCCCCACAACAGACACCCTGGGTGCGTTCAGATGGGCCGTTTAGTCCACTTTCGGCCCGCCTCAGAAACGGATTTCATCTGCGTGATCACACGGTCAACATCTGCCTCCCGTCCCCAGTTGTCGCTTTCCAGCTCAAAACCGCTTTAACCCGGAGTATTTTGATACCAGGTCCCCAAGTGGTGTTTTCCTGATTCTCCGGTTCCAGCCACATTTCCCCCCTGTGTGATCACACCTCCGGTGTCGAGCCACTTCCGGTTTAAATCCCCTCCCCGCTCGAAAGCTGCCCGAGGCTTCCGCTTTTCACCCGCCATTTTTTAACGGTAAACGTTTAAAGGGAAGTGTTCCTTTAAAGTTTAAAGGGAAGTGTTAACAGCAGTTGGGTTGAAGTGGAAATCGCTGTTCTGCGCAGGCGCGGAAATTTTAGTTCCACAGATGGCTGCCTGTGCGCATACCCAAACAGAGAGAGAAAAAACAACAACAGCACAGCGATCTGGAGCAAGGAGGTGAGTGTGATCACCATTCTCTAGGTTAAAAAAGACCGCATCAGGGTCAGAACAATTTAAACCGCTCCCAGCACTCCGTCTGACCGCACCCCCTGTGAGGTAGGTGGGGCTGAGAGAGCTCTCTCGAGAACCACTCATGAGAGAACAGCTCTGAGAGAGCCATGAGTGACTTTGTTCTAAAGAGGACAACTAATGGTTAAGGAAACGATCTCTCAATAGCTGGGAATTTCCCAGTTGCCTCTTTTAATGGGATACCTGTCAAAGCTGGAATGTGTGTGTCTGTTTGTGTTAGGGTTACCAACCTCCAGGTGGGAAAAAAGAAAGAACCACGAGGGGGGGTCCACAGGTATCCATGAGGAAAATACCATAAACAACAAACGGTGTGACAGGAGTGACTAGAACATTTAGTAAAGATCATGTGGTGTAATGAATGAGACCTTACAAAATTACAAGGAAAAGTCCATCATACTCTCAATACAACTTTACAAAATTACAAGGAGATCTCCCAGAATTACAACTGATTCCCAGGTGATAGGGATAAGTTTCCCTGGGGGAAACGGCTGCCTTGGAAGGTGGGCTCTATGGCATTATACCTCCCCTCCCCAAACCCCACCCTATGGCATTATAGGCTGCTGAGGTCCCTCTCCAGGTTCCACCCCCAAATCTCCAGGTATTTCCCAAGTGGGAAATTACCCACCCTAGGATCAGGTTACCAAGTGACCAGAAACACCTGGTGTTAAGTTGCTGGCTTAACAAAGAAGTCGGAGAGTGATTTGGCAAGAACACAACTTTATTCTTCAACTCGAACACAACTCCAACACGGATCAACATCTGATAGCCAGAACAGAACAGTTCAGCTTTTACATTGCAGTTGTCCTGCTTTTAAACTCTCCCGGCTAATGTAGCCACACCCACTGTACAAATACCAACCAATACGGTTGTTCATATAAGGACCAATCACGGACGTTCCCACTCAGGGAGCTTGCTGTAAAGTGATTGGCTAGGTGCTTCCTGGGCTAGCAATGCGACTGGATGGATTTGGATCCTAGGCCAGGACGAAGCTCAACATGGCAAGTCAATTAGATGTTTCACATACATCATGCATTCAATGGCATCTATTGAATACATTACACCTGGCTGACCTGCTCTTGTGCCTTTAATGGCCATCTGATCTACAGTAACTAGCTGACGCAGCATTTGCACGACGGTGGCTGTAAAATTATCAGTAGCTTCTTGCTCCAGGCCACATGTCTGACAAAAGACACAGGTACTCAAAAACTAGCAACATTGTACGAGAAGAATTGCCAGCTCTGGGTTGGGAAATTCCTGGAGATTTGAGATGGGAGCCTTGGGGGGGAAGGTTTGGGGAGGGGAGGGGAGGGACCACAGTAGGGTACAATGCCATAAAGTCCACCCTTCACAGTAGCCATTTTCTCCAGGGGGGACTGCTCTCTGTAGACTGGAGAGAAATTGTAATCCCCGGAGATCTCCAGGCCCCACCTGGAGGTTGGCGACGCTATGCATGAGAATGAGGAGAGCCAGTTTAAGTGTAGTGGTTAAGTGCGCGGACTGTAATCTGGGAGAACCGGGTTTGATTCCCCACTCCTCCACTCGCAGCTGCTGGATGACCTTGGGCAAGCCGTAGTACTGGTAAGAGCTGTTCTTGAAGAAGAGCCATTTCTGTCAGAGCTCTCTCAGCCCCGCCTACCTCAGAGGGTGTCTGTTGTGGGGAGGGAGAGGGAAAGGAGTTTGTAAACCACTCTGAGACTCCTTCGGGTAGGGAAGGGCAAAGAATAAATCCAATCTCCTCCTCCTCCTCCTCTTCTTCTTCGTCATTACAGAGAACTCTCCCCTGGGCAACTTTCTGTTTGGCTTGCTAAAGAGTTTGGCCTGAAGCACAACCTGGTGTTCCTTTGCAAATAGAATTGGCTCCGCTGAAACCAATCGCCACTGCCAAGTTCATCCAGAGAGCTGGTGGCCCAGGAGGTGTGCCAAAGAACTCCAAGCCAGCCTGGCACAGACCCACATCTTGCCCTCTTTGCGCCACATCTTGTCCTCCTTGCGCCATCTGTTTAGAGCAACCGAGCCACCCCACCCCTTCTCAGTTATTTTGGGAATGAAGGAAGGGGATTGGTCAGGGTTTTGAGTAAGCAAAGGAAACAGGGGCCAGCCGAATGCCTTCCTGTTCTCCACGGTCACAATGGCTTGTTTGCATCCGTCAATTCTCTCCCTACGCAAAGATAACTCTGACTTGAGACCAGCCCCTGCACCAAGCCGCCCTTCCCCAAGGGATTCTCTGGTGGGAAATATTTGCCAAGGAGCAGCAAGAAAAGTCGACTGCAAGATCCGAGAAGGGCGCCCTCAGCAACCCTCTGAATCCTTGCAAAGAATCGGTAGTGGGAGGCCAAATACGGCTTTGGGGTTCCCCCTGGAGAAAATTGCACACTGACCGCTTTCCTTCCAACTTGTCTTAGCTCAGGAAGGATGGCTCCAGAGCAAACAGATTTATGCAGTAGCCAAATTGCTCGCTCACAACTTTAATGCAGTAACTCACAAAGTAGAATTTTTGCTCACAAGACTCCACATCTTAGAGGGAGCATTGCTTAAGGGCTCTCAACTTCACTCACTTTTGCCACCCCCTAATGCAGGAGACTCCACACTGGGTGTTAAAGGTAAAGGTTCCCTTGCTCGAAAGCCAGTCGAGTCCGACTCTAGGGTTGCGGTGCTCATCTCCGTTTCAAAGCCGAAGAGCCAGTGCTCTCCGAAGAAGTTTCCGTGGTCATGTGGCCGGCATGACTAAACACCGAGGCTCACAGAACGCTGTGACCTTCCCACTGAAGTGGTACCTATTTATCTACTTGCAATTTCTTGCTTTCGAACTGCTAGGTTGGCAGGAGCTGGAACTAGAGACGGGAGCTCACTCCGTCATGCGGCAACTCGGGTCTTGAACTGCTGAAAACTGACCTTCCACAGCCTGCAGTTCAGCGTCTTAACCACTTGAGCCACCGCAGCTCCTAAATAAATACATAAATATGTACAAAAGGGGGGAAACCCTAGAACAGAGGCAGGTCGTAGAAATTCTAACAGAATGTGGATTGGGGTCACAGCCAGCCTAAACAGCTCACCACCAATGGGTAAGGCTGAGGATCAGACAGGGTCACTGTTTCTGGGCATTCAAGGAAGTGTGGAGGTGAAAGGGAAATGGCCAAGGAGACACCACAAAACCAGAGCCAGTTTGGTGTAGCGGTTAGGAGTGCGGATTCTAATCTGGGGGAACCGGGTTTGATTCCCCACTCCACATGCAGCCGCTGGTGTGACCATGGGTCAGTCACAAGTTCTCTCCGAGCCGTTCTCTCATGAGCCGTTCCCGAAAGAGCTCCCTCAGCCCCTCCTACATCACATAGGGTGTCTGTTGTGGGGAGGGGAAGGGAAAAGAGATTGTGAGCCGCTCTGAGACTCCTTCTGGTAGTGAAGGGCGGGGGATAAATCCAATTTCTTCTTCTTCAGCGGCACCAAGAAGGCACCCCCCCAAGACCAATGCTCCCTCTAAGCTGTGGAGTCTTGTGAGCCAAAATTCTACTTTGTGAGCTACTGGCATTAAAAGTTGTGAGCGAGCCATTTGGCTGCTGCATAAATTGATTTGCTCTGGAGCAGTCCATCCTGAGCTGAGACAAAAAATGTGTGAGCCGGAGGCTAAAAAACTGTGAGCTGGCTCACACCAACTCAGCTTAGAGGGAACACTGCCCAAGACTGAATCTCCTGCTTACCTTTTCCATTTCTGCTTCTTGCACCTCCCCCTCAGTGGCTAAAAAGTGGCAGTCCGTCTGAGCAACACCACCAGAGTGACTCAGCCCGGCGGCAGCAGTGTCCGACAAGATCCCCATGGCCCGTCCTTTCCTGTTCCCCGAGTTGCACACAGTTCCTGTCCTCAGCTGGGAAGGAAAGGGTTGTCCTGGTGATCTTTGTATGGCTGTTTTGCTTGCTTGCCAGCAATAAGGCTGCCCTTGAACGCAGCTGGGAGGTTCTGGATTTGCAAATCCAAAGGAGGAAGAGAGCAAAGGAAAAGTTTCGGAAGAAATAGACCAGTCAGTTTTATCCGAAGGGGACCAATTCACAGTTTGCGAAGTCCTTATGTCCCCCGTAGACCCACCCCCCCGGCCCGCTCAGTCAGACCTACTCTGGGAATCCCATGCTCGGAATTTAATGGCTGGGCGCAGAGGAGCCTGATTCGCATTAGGGCCACAGTGTATGGCTAGAGTCAGGGGTCATTTCGTAGACAAAGAGGTGCAGGAGCTCATTAGCATAACTCATTAGCATAACTCGTTTGCATATGCCACACCCCTTGACGTCACTGGAAGTGTGTCAGAAGGCTCAGGCTCCACTGGACTGTTTTGAATTGCTAGATATTGGGGGGGGGATGTGCAGATCTGTCCTCTCAGAGAAGGGAGAGCTTGTATCTGAATAAAACTGGGTCTTAAAGGTGCCACTGGACTGTTTTGGACCGGGGGGCCAGGGGGAGCTCTGCAACTTACCTGGCTGCTTCTTGCTCTGTTTGAGGGCTGCTGGGAGCAGGGGGTGGGGCTTGTTGCATGTGCCTGCCCCCTGGGCTCTTTACTGCTGGAGCTCTGCTCCTGTGCGCTCCTGCAGGAAATGACCCCTGGCTAGAGTAGGGGTGTCAAACATGCGGCCCAGGGGCAGGATCAGGCCCTGGCCCGGGAGGGCTTCTGTCAGACCCGCAGTGGAA